TATTTCTAAAACGTGATGTCGGCAGCCAAAATATAATAAATCCCTTTCTAATTTTTGTTCCAATAACATGCATGCTCCTTTTATCCTGCCAGTATTTGACGCTGTAGTATCAAATCCAATTGCTTGGACATTTTTTATTAAGTTCCAACTTTCCAACGTATCATATACAGCTGATGCCATTTCAAGTCCGGTAGCAGCAGGTATTTCTGGAACACCTAAAAGTTGTTCAGTACCAGCACCTGTAGCAATTACAGCCAATCTTTCGACTGATTTGCCACTTATATCATGTAGTAATTTAGTGTCCCAATGGATTGTTACTATTTTGTCATTAAGCTGAGAAAATTTTTCTTTAATTCTTATGTAATTTTTTTTTCGAAATTGTTCCCGTTGTTTTGAAATTGATGTCCGATTTAAAACATAAGACGATGGATCTAGAGATACAGCATCCAAAAAAGCCATAATTAAATGTATACAATCTCGCCCACTAACGTTACATCTATCTAAAGCTGCAGATAGTCGAGAGGTTAATAATTCTTTGCGGGGCCTTTTTGTGGGATTTTCATAGATTTTTATTTCTTGTTCTTGAACTATTTCTTCTTCGATGCAATCAATTTGCGAATCAGATGAACAATTCTCAGAATCGGCAACATCAAACTCCGCTAAAATATTACAATACAATAGTATAATAATTTTTGTCCTTTTATAAAAGCTTATATTTTTATTAATATGACTTAAATATAAAATTTGTAAGTCAAGAACTGTAATCGATTGGATAGAATGATACATCATACCCTCACTGTTCACGGTTCAATACTCTTAAAAATAAATAGTTTTTTTTTAATATTAGTACTTTTGATGGCCATACCTGAAGTAGAAGGAATGCCAATGTCTGCAGATTTGCGTTTTCTTTCGTTTTCTTTTTCTATCCTTAGCTGTCGTGTTTTTTCCAATAGTTCTTCTTTTTTATCAATACCTACCATACAGCCTGTTCGTCCTTTTTCGCGCTGTTTGATTAAAAATTGCTTATCCTCATCGTACTTAATAAGTATTAATGCATCTCTATGTGCTATATCGAACAAATCATTTAAAGAATCGCTAAATTCAGTTCGCTGTTTATTCAAACTTTCACTTGTTCTATTAATAGTTTTGGAGAGTGATTGCCACACTTCATAAAGTTTTTGTAGTTTTAATTTACATTTATGTAGTTCTTGTGTAGGAATTTTTGCTTTTTTCCAGTATATAACACATTCTTCAATAACCAATGATGCACTGACATTAAAGTTAAGCTTGGCAATTCGCATATTATAAAATAAAACACGTAAACAGTCACCATTTGAAGGTAATTTACTTCCGGTTATTTGGTGTTTAAAAAATCCAACAAGAAAAATTTTTTGGCGAAGTGACGACATACTTAACACAATTAAAAAATTGATACTTATTATAATATAAAAAAAAGACAATCGCTAGTAGAGATAAAAAGTTCAGAAACTACAAAAATATTGTGTTATCACGTCCTATAACTCTGTTAATGATAGTACTTTGTCATTCTAAGATATTTTTTTTTTGTTATTGTACTTAGAAAAATTATCAGTAAACAGGTTTATTAAACGGAATCCAGAAATCATGGCACAGTATGATATAAATAGCACAAAATAGTTCACGTTATAAAAATTAGAACATATCGATAAAATATTTTTATTATATTTATCAATACTTCAAAAACTATCAGTTTTAAGGGAAATTATCTAATAACATTTTTTATTTAAAATATCATTTTAAACAAATTTTATGTTTAAAATTTTTTTTGTAATGCGAAAATTAAACCAGATAATTACAAAAAACCAAATAGTTGGAAGTTTTCATAAATCACGAGTATTGTCGAGTTTTATTATTTTAACCAAAAAGTATTAAATAAACGCGAAATTGTAAGAAGATCTTTTTTATAGAAAATTACAATAGCTAAAATATTATATATTATAATATTTTTCGTAAAACAAAGTCTGTAGTCTAAAAATGTAAAACACTGAAATTTTTCATATTTTTCCAAAACTTTGAGCTTTATGTGCGCCCAGTTAATCAAGTAGTATAAAGCTCAATTTTTTTAGAGATTATCTTTAAACATAAAGGAACAAATTTACGCCCGGCGCTCCTGAAGTTTCGTACAAAAATTTTCCTTCATATGTAAATAGCGGCCACCCTACTGTACAGTTTCTGGTCTTTTGATTGGTAAGTATAATACTCTATACAGTTATCATTGAGTAGTTTGGCTACTTTTTGTTATGAGTTTGATGACTGTTCGAAAAGTTTAAGATTTTTTGAAGTAGATTTGCAAACAAACTCCTCCTCTTCTCTTATAGTTATTTTTAATTCGTTACAGAATTTAATGTAATCTAACGGAGTTACAATAAATATGGTGGTGGGTTCAGTATTCATTTGAGTGTCGTCCTTAACATCGTTGAGTGCATGGTATCTATTTGGAGTAGAGAATGGGTTATTCTTTTTATTTTCTTCAGCGTTGGGTGAAAGTTCTGAAGAAGATTGACGTTTACTGGTTTTGATGATCCAACCAGGTTCTGTGTTGACTACTACATTTGGGGTGTTTAATTTGGATAATTTATATTAAATTATCCAATATCTCCTATGGAGATATTGGTTTACGAGAACTGCACTGTTGTCGAATAATACTATTGTGGCTAACTTTTCTACAGTCCAAAGGTCACCGAGTGAGCGGTGCCTGTGGATTGATGATAGCGATTATACCTATTGATAATTAGTTTTCCCAATTAAAAAGATTACTTTTCCTCTCTTAGCATTAGTAATTGACAATTGAGTTGAAACTGATCATGCAGCATAGATGAAAATTAGATTTCTTGAATTGTGCGTGTAAACTATTTCTTAAAAACCGTTAAGATTTGAGAAATCTGTTTTACTTTTGTCGTGAGCGGTGAACGTACGTATGCACAGTCGCGCATCCGTTCGGGAACTGAAGTATATTTTTAGACTTATATTTTATTTATTTAGTGATACTAAGATTTTAAAATATTGAGATAATGCTATAATATATTTAGTGTCAAAATTTTGAGTATGTTTAGTTTATTGAACTTTAACACAAATATGAAATTTTATATGATAGTTATACATTACGTCCTATAATTAATAACAGAATTTCATTAATATTAATATTAACAATAGTAATAAAGATAAAACTGAATAATTATGATATAATTTTAATTATTTTACTGTGATAACAATGCCACCAAATATTAATATTATACTTATTACATTTTACTACTATTGACCATTTTTAAATTAAATTTATTTTAAAAATTATAATATTTACTTTATATTTGTTATACTACTAATTGTGAAGTAATAGTTTTTGTGTAAAAAAATTTATCATGGCTAGCGCACCACGGTACTCCTATTAGAATCTGCAATCTACTTTTGGTGTTTCGCGTATTGATTAAGCAATATATAAAAACACCGATTTACGTAAAAAATAGAAAAATGATAGACGGTTTATTATTTAAATACTTTTAAAATTTTACAATGTATGTATGCACTAAGTGTACTAACTGTCTACTTGTGGCGAACTAACTAACTTATGACTGATTAGTTGATTGATGTCGTGCCTTTTTATATTGTGTAGTGTTTTAGAGTATTCTTTTATTAATCGAGAATATTCCACGTATATGAATTTTGTGTTGCCTATCTGTCGCGAAGATTCTCGATCGTTCCATGGTCGCTACATACCCATCATAGGCTAGAATCTAAAATATCCTACATGATAGTATAAAAACTAGGTGCATCTCAAAAATTGATTTAACATCCACTTTTTAGTAGATACAAATAAATATATAAATATAATAAATAAAGTAAATATATAATTTTCATATACTATTAAATCGCTCACTAGTACAACACTCAAAGCTATTTAGACAGAGTTTTCTGTTTTTAGGGTTTTAGGGTTTTCACTTAAAACACAAGGTATTGAGAAAGATTTAACTAAAATAAAAGCTATGCTAAATTAAACCCAACTTAAAACGTTAAACGTCTGAGGTCATTCTAGGTTTAACGAATTACTATAACAGATTTTTGGAAAAATATAGCATGGTTTGAAAAACTATAGTGTGAACATTAACACAACATGACTTCAAACATTCAGACTCGTTGCCATTATTCTTGTCGTTGATTCTTATTATGTACCATCACACCTGTATACTGCTATTGGTGTGTTTATGGTCCTTAACGTGCCGCCGCTTCAACTGTTTCATCAGCCTTACCGAAGGTTCGAACATCGGCCCACGTTACTATCCTATCACTCAGCTCTGAGTCGTTTATCCGCTGATCTTTGACAACCGTGTGTGTGTGTGTGTGTGTGTGTGTGTATGTGTAATAGTTATCAGTTTGTCAAAGAAATAAAAAATATGCTTACACGATTTATAGTTATTATATCGATAAACGAAGCTCTGTCATACATCGTAATAACATACTTCATAGTAGTATGCTGTATGTTAAGGTTAAATAGTGGCTACCGTCGTCGTCGTCCTTAATAACCTTGACTATTCCTAGAACGACCCTACCATTTTGCTCTTGTAACAAACTGTGTAATATTATACGCATTATAAATCATACAAATTATCAATTTTCTTATGGTATTTTACGTAGTTATGGAATGAACAAAAGGTAAATTTAATGACTATATAACTTATTTTATTTGCTTAAGTTTTTGTAGTTTTCTTTTAATTTTTGCAGGAATTTTCACGTATAATATTGATCTTGGTTTTCAGTATTGACGCAATTTCAATAAAATTTTTAGAGAGTCTCATTACATGTAATTTACTCCTCCCTAATTTTTTTTTTATCATAAGGTCATACATGTAAATTTTCTTAAACTTTGGATCCAGTACTGATCTGTACTCATTTTTAGGATAAAGTTAACAAGTATTAAAAAAAAAATAATAAAGCTAAATCATGAGTTACACTTTGATATATTACAGATGATAGCCGTCTCAATTACATCTGGTACCTCAAAACACTCTGTGACAGATAAAATCATACGTTTTTCTGGAGGTGAGAAGCCCACCATACAAACTGTACCAATACTGACATCTCATGGAGACATCCCTGCATTTTTTGATGCTCGAATCAAATGGGGGAAAATATGTCCTTTCATAGGAAAAGTAAAAAATCAAGGAATTTGTAAATCTGGTTGGGTAAGAGCTTATATCAAGTAATAACAGTTGTATACATGAAGTATTATTTAGAATAGTTAAAAAAAAATTAAACTGTTAAAATTATACGAAATAGAGATCAATTTTAGTTATTCTTAATTTTGGTTTTAGGCGATTGCTGTTGCTGATGTAATAACAGACCGTAGATGTATAAAATCTGGAGGTAAGTTTCAGGACAAATTATCACCTATGCATTTGTTGTCATGTTGTACAAATTGTTGTGGGTGTAACGGTGGACATATTTTGAATGCTTGGCGATTTGTTCTTCATGAAGGTTTAGTGACAGGAGGGACATATCCAGAACATCCAACTTTTGTACCAAGTGATGTAAGGCTATTAATGTTAAATTTAATAACTAGTTACAACAAAATTCATACAAACATAAGAACATTTTAAATAAATCCATAGAATAATTCAAATAGATTAATTGAGTTTTCCAAAGGTTGTGTTATCCTCATAATATTTGTTATTGAATTTTTTTTTTTTTAAAGTATTATAGACCAATACTACTTTCCACTCTTCTCTATTATACACATGATTTAAGTTGCCATGACACTCTGGTCTCAACCCTGTAGGTATCTTTTTACTACATCTAACCACCGTTGCTTCGGTCTACCGCGTAGTCTTTTCTTGTTTAAATTATTCACAAGTACTGTCTTGACAATACTGTTGTCGGCTCTCCAGACATGATCTGCCCATTCTATTCTTACTCCTTTAACAAATTGTACTATACTTCCTTTTCCATATAATTGTTGTACCTGTTCATTTGATCTTCTCTCCCACACTTAAGTTTCAGGGTTGTAGAAGGGGCCATAAATTTTCCTTAACACCTCTCTTTCAAAGATATTTAGCATATTTTCATCTCCTACTGTTGTAGCCCAGGTACAACATGCATATGATACAATTGTTCTGAAATACGTAGTATAAAGTTTCTCCTTAGATTTCTTAGACAATAATTTTGACTTAAACAGATGTGCCATAACAAAATAACATCCATTTCCAACTTTTAGACGGAGTTTAATTTCATTGTGCATATAGTTTCTATTATTTATGTTAACACCGAGGTTTTTGAAGTCCTGTACTTGTTGAAAGAATAGTCCATTAACTTCTTAGTCGGATTCATCTTCAACATCTCGTACTTTTCTAGCCATGAACATATACTTGGTTTTTTCCTGATTTATCGAGAGCCCCATATACTTGCATATTTCCATTAAGATTGACATACTGTTTATGGTATCCTGCTTCGCATCGCCCAAAATTATTTTATCGTCAGCATAGGCTAGTAGAATATGATTTTCATTTACTTCCATTGTTTGTCGCTGTGATATTCTCTTTATCACACTTTCTATAGTTAAATTAAATAGCACCGGTGATAGCGCATTACCTTGTCTTAGTCCTTTACTTACTTCAAACGCATCTGACAGCTACCCTTGTACCCGGATCACACATTTTGTGTTGCATAATGTTATTAAATTTACTATTTTAGTTGGAAAACCTAAATTTATCAAGCTTATCTATAATTTACTCCTAATTGTATTGTCATTGGCTTGCTTAAAATCCACAAACACTATATGTATATCTTTATTATATTCATAATGTTTACTTATGATTTGCCGAAACGTGAATATATGATCTATGGTTGACTTACCTTTTCTAAAGCCACACTGGTAATCTCCAATCACTCGCTCCGATATACCCTGTATTATTCTTAGAAGGAACATAGATAGAACCTTATATCCCACATCTAAAATAGATATACCTCTATAGTTTTCAGCGCATTTAGGGTCATCTTTTTTAAATATTGGATAAACAACTGATGTTCACCATTCGATTGGGATTTCTTATTTGTATCATATCCTAGATATAAGATTAAATATCTCCTCAGTTACCCTAGGACCTCCTAGTTTTAGTAACTCTCCGCAAATTCGGTTTTCTCCTTCACCCTTATTATTCTTAATTGATTTAAGGATCACATCAATTTCTGCTCTGCTTGGATCCACTTCTTCGTTTTCTAAGCTGTTGATTGTCGGTTCCCCTTCTTCGACTTCTTCTTGGGTTACACTAGGTTCACTATTCAGTAGTTGGTCAAACATTTCAGAAATTCCTCTGCTTTAATTTCTACTATTTGAAACTAACTTCCCTTCTCTGTTTACAATAAATTGCGTTGTTGGCTTATATCCATTTTTTAAAGTTTTACACTGCCTAAAATACTCCTTGGCGTTGTATCTAAAACTTTCCAATTTTTCAATATTTTCCTGTCATATCACTTTATGTACTTTTTTCCTCCATTTTTCATATATCTCCACATTAATTGAGTTGATAATTTATTCACTTGCAATCTATCATCACTGCGTAGTTCAATGACTTCTGCACACTTTAGATTGAACCAGTGCTTTGTTTTCGACCTAAGCGGTTGTTTAATTACGCTATCCGACACCCCCAGAACTGAGTTCTTAATTATTTCCCACGTACTTTGAATTTCCTTTTCCTATTCTGATATGCTTTCATCTCATAATTTGTCCACGTCGAACCTAAGATTATTTATTTTTCGCTTTCCACTGGTTTGATAATATTATTTTTACTTTAACTAGCACTAGAAAATGATTTGAGTCACTATTCTCTTTTCGATCTTACATCCTTTACACATGATCTATGTACTTTATCAACCAATATATGGTCTATTTGACTTTGATATGTTCCGTGTGGTGCGGTCCACGTGAATTTATTTATATTCTTCCTGGGAAAGAAACTACTACTATCATTAGCTATTGCGAATTCAATTAATCTGGTACCGTTTCCATTACTCATATCATGTACACTAGGGTGGCCCTCAAAAATCAAATGTCTTTTTTTTTTTTTACGCTACCCCTTAATTTTTTTTTAATGGTCAAAAAAATGAGCTGTGCAAAATTTGGGACAGATCCGTTAAGGTTCACCCGTGCCCCCGGGCCTATTAAGTTGAGTCGAAGAGTCAAATTTAATAGAAATAACTGATCTATGTATCATAACTTTTTTTTCTCTTAACTTAGAATAATAAAAGTAAAACTCAAGTAAAGGAAATTTTACAAGAAATTCAAAAATAATAACTTCAATGTTGTTTTCTCAATAAATAGCCCACAAAAACACTACATACAGTAAAAAACATGTAAAAGTCTTAAAATACGTTATAACTGATTTTGTTGATTTTTAATTATTTATTTTCATTTTATTTTTTGGAAAACGCATATTCGTTTAAAAAAAGATTCTAGAAGTTTAATTTTTTATGCCAAGTACGATAATTATATTAGATTTATTATTTTATGGACAGTTAATTAATGATTAATTACAAATTTAACAAAATTGATTGTATTATTACATTTTGTCGTATCAATATATCAATTTTGGTTTACTGAATTACTTTAAGATAGTACCAATTATATTATTATTAAAGATAAGTATATTTGAGTTATTTTCGACAACTGACATAATTTGTGTCATATAAATGCAGCAGACAATTTGTGAACACGTTAAATATATTATACCTGTTTATTATTATATATTAAATGATACGTTTTAATCACAAATGTACAATACTTTTAGCGTCTTTAAAGTATTACGAACTAATATTTATATTATTGGTAATTATTACCACGAAATTACTGGTAGTAAGATACCATCAAATTTACAACTATTTCATCTGAACACTGATTTTTTGAAAATTGATCCATCATTTTGGAGTTCGAACAACAGTTACATAAATGCTTTAAATACTATAAGTAAATTACAAGTCATTAATGATACCGCCTAGCGTGGCATTAAATTAATCTAAGACTGCATTAATATATTAACTACAAATGAATAACAGAAACAATACGTTTTACAAACAGTAAGTAATTATCGGAAAAAATTTCCTAATTGTAAAAAAGTACATTATCAACAAATATATTATAATAATATAATTTAATTATTGTTAAAATATTTTTTTTAAAGTTATTATTATTTAAAAAAAAATAAATTAAAAATTGTTAATAACAATTAAATTAAACTGTTAAATTTGTAATTAATCATTAATTAACTGTCCATAAAATAATAAATCTAATATAATTATCGTACTTGGCATAAAAAATTAAACTTCTAGAATCTTTTTTTAAACGAATATGCGTTTTCCAAAAAATAAAATGAAAATAAATAATTAAAAATCAACAAAATCAGTTATAACGTATTTTAAGACTTTCACATGTTTTTTACTGTATGTAGTGTTTTTGTGGGTTATTTATTGAGAAAACAGCATTGAAGTTATTATTTTTGAATTTCTTGTAAAATTTCCTTTACTTGAGTTTTACTTTTATAATTCTAAGTTAAGAGAAAAAAAAGTTACGAGACATAGATCAGTTATTTCTATTAAATTTGACTCTTCGACTCAACTTAATAGGCCCGGGGGCACGGGTGAACCTTAACGGATCTGTCCCAAATTTGAGGGCCACCCTAATGTACACTCTCATTGCCTATTTTAGGTTTATGTATAGTCTCTTGACCCAATCGAGCGTTAAATTCTCCTAAAATGATTTTTATACAGTATCCTGATTGCCCATTGAATACTCTTTCTAGTTCATCATAGAATAAATCCTTTAAGTCTTCTTCACCCGCTTCTGTAGGCGAGTATACACATATCAATGATGTCAAAATACCTAGGCAATAAGTTTGACAGATCATTAACTTTTAAACAACACCTAGAAGGAGTAAAAGACAAGTTGAAAACACGAAATAATATCATCAGAAAACTGGTAGGAACAACCTGGGGATGTAGGGCTAACGTCATTCGAATTTCATCCTTGGCATTAGTTTATAGCGTTTTAAAATACTGCGCCCCAGTGTGCAAGTAATAATATCTAATGTTCAATGTAAATTTTATAATTAGAGTCAAAAGTAGTAAATACACTTAGTAATACAACGACGGAATTACGAATGATTATATTTAATAATATTGACCCGAATATGCACGAGTCGAGTAGTCAACTATATGCTGATCATCAAGACTTGTGCAATAGTTCATAACATCACGGCCTCTGTACTGTAATGACAGAAGTGTGTTATATATTAGTGGCTGCACTGTTAAACAGCTTGTAGCATCGTTCTCACTCTCATTAAGATGTTTAGATTTAGTAAAAAAACACGCTGTTATGATTTTTAAAATAAAGTTTTTACAGTTATAACATAACTAGTTTTTATTTAAAATAAGTACTTTTAAATACATAACAAAGTGAGAATTGGCAAAAGGAAACCACTACAATTGTAGTTAAGGTAAGAAGATGAATGCGGTTTGTTTAAAACGCAAACGTTATTATCACTCATGGGCTGCCATGGTGTTATCAAAAAAAAATATCTTATAAAATTTCTTATGAAAAAAAAAAATATTAATTAAATTTTTAAACCTACATAAGTTTAACAAAAATAAAAGATGGTAGTTAATATTTTTCGGATGAATTGCGCCCCTCTTACCACAAAACATCCGCCTTTTGTATGATAGACACTGTCTATTATCTACACTTGTCTTATGATCTATACTACTACGTTGGGCATCTGTTATTATGAAATAGACTGATAACAATTTTTTTACTTTTATTGTTTGAAAACATTGAAACAGATAGCATTTTTAGATAGAGAGCTATTTACACAATATTAACTAATTAATCTACATAACGTAACGCACATAGTATTACTTGTTTTAACCAGTGTTGATTACACAAGCAGTTAGGCTATAACGACATATGATGTATTTTACACAAGGTAGAGCATCACACTCTGTTCATGATATTTTATAATTACAGTATATATACAACCTAACATTTGTATTTTATTAATCTGTCAAAGATTTCTGCATTTTTATTTATATAATGAAAGTTATTTAAAATAGCCGGTTTAATATACTTTAAAATTTGCGTATTTATTTCATGAATAAAAACATTTAGATCTAGTAATTAATGAAGCTCCTTAATAATATTAATTAAATTAAAAATAAATATAAAATTTTGGTCATAAATTAAACTGTGTTAAATTCATCGCAATTCACTTTTAAGATCCACTATATTTGTGTACAAATAATTTGTGGATCAATTATTAAAATTGTTCTATTATATTAATTGTTCTAAATAATTTTTTATAGAGTAACTGTATCTATATTTCAAATACTTTTCAAAGTGTCTTATAGATCTGGTTATAAGTGATCAGTATAAACACGTAATTAGCACTATTTATTTGTAAAACAATTTTATTAACCAATAACTGGATATCTTACAATATCTTACTAACAATTTTTTACTATTAGAGAAAAGTCTCTGTTTAACTAAATTCTTGTATCTTTGATGACGTTATTTTTTTTAATATTATCAATGACAAATGCATTGAAGGAGTATAGTACGTCAAAAAAAAAAAAAATTAACTGATACTATCATGAATTAAATTGAATTAAATAAACTTTTATGATCATGTATTTGTTAGGGTTGTCAGCCATATCAAATTCGACCATTGATGGAAAGCGAACTAAATAAAAGTAGTACGTTTGGAAGTAGAACACCAGCTTGTAAAGGAATAAAATGCTCTAATCCAAAATACTATAGAGAAGAACAAACTGTGTTTAAAAGTATATCTATTCGTGTAAAATATAAAATTTTTAACGACTGTTACACTATAAAAATTTGTCAAGTATCACAAACAAAAACCATTTTATAAAAAATTGATTTTTTTACTTTAATTAGTTCGTAGTTTTTCTTTGCTTCCTCGTTCAAATCCAGAAATAATTATGAGAGAAATTATGGAAAATGGTCCAGTTCAAGTATCATTTCATATGCATGAAGATTTTCGATTGTATAGAGGAGGACATCATAACAGTAATTATTTTTTTAATTGTAGTATATCGATCACATAATAATATTTACGGTACAGGGGTGACGTGGCATAGTTGGGACAAGTATAATAATATCTGACAGTGATTAAAATCACTATCTTAAAAAAAAGCTTCGATGCAAATCTTTAGATAGTTTTTAATTTTAAAAACTTGGTGGATTATTACAAAAGCTACATGATCTGCTATTTCCTTATTTATATCATGATTAAGTTAAAGTATGTCGAATGAATAAGGGATATAAATATTATATCTCATAAAAATTTTTTTATTGATCCATACACTTTTCAATAAGTTAAAGCATTATAAAGTTAAAAATGTAAATAATAAAATCCAGAATTTTAACACGAAAATAGCAACGGTAGCCATTTATAACGTGAAAACAAAAAAAAAATCCATAAGATAGGTACTTGTAATGTACGAATCATGCTCCAAGGAGGGAATCTAGAGAACATCAAGATGGAAATGAAAAAGCTAGACATTGATAGCTTAGGACTGTGTGAGATGAGATGGCCAAATAATGGAGATTTATAGAGTGGCGATTATAAAATTATTTATTGCCATAGCATAAATGGACAAAATGGAGTTAGAATTATTCTAAATAATAAATGGGGAATAGAGTTACAAATTTTGTGACCTATAATAGCCGATTACTACTTATCAAATACAAATCCATCCCTACCAACATTATAATAATACAAGTGTATACGCCTATTTTCAATTCATATGAAGAAGAAATCGCTGAAGAAGTATACGCTGGCATAGAATAATTAATGAAACTTACGATAATGTAATTGCCATTGGAGATTTTAATACTATCGTTGGAGAAGGAAAAGAGGGAAGAGAAGTTGGCCAATTTGGATTAGGAAAACTAAATGTGCAAAGGAGAAAGACTTATAGAGTTTTGTAGAGAATGGGGTCTAATAGTAACAAACGCCCGTTTCCAAAGCCATAATAGAAGAAGGAAAACTTGAAAAAACCCTGGAGATATTGCTCGCTATCAAACAGATTATATACTAGTTAAAAATAGATTTAAAAACCAAGTTAAATTCAGCAAATTGTACCTGAGTGCTGATTGTGATAGTGACCATAATTTACTAGCAATGAAGTGTGAACTTCGTTATAAGAAAAAGACACATGAAAAAACAAAAGATTGTCAATACAATATACTATCACAAAAAACGAAGAAGTAGTAGAAAAGTACAGAAATCAACTGGAAATGAAATATCAGAACTATGAAAATAAAAATTATACTATACCAATAACAGTGAATCAAATATGGCAAAATATTAAAACCACAATTAGAAGTGCAGCAGATTCTACATTAAGAAAATACAAAAAAAAGTAAAAAAAAAGCTGGATGAATATGGAAGTTATTCAAAGTATAGAAAAAAGAAGAAAATATAAAAACAACAAAACTACGGAAGGGAGACTAAGGTATAGGCAATTATGAAATCAAGTAAATAGAGAGGTTAGAAAAGCGAAAGAAACTTGGTTAGAAGAGCAATGTGAGGAAATTGAGATACTTTTTAAGAGAATCAAAACAGAGCCTATCGTAAAATTTTAAATGTCGTAGGAAATAAACAAGTTCATATAACTATAAAGAATAAAGATGATAAATTGCTAATTGATGACGCCCAGATAACAAATAGATGGAAAGAATACCTTGAAGAACAATATGATGAAGAAAAACTAGAGAACTTGGAAATAAAGGGTTCGACAACGATGAGCATATCTATTAAGATCAGAATTTGATACTGCACCGAGTGAATACAAACCAAAAAAAGCACTGGAAATTCATTACATACCAGCGGAGATGCTCCAAAACAGCAGCTATATAGTAAAAGAAGCTTTATATGATCTCACTAAAGACATATACGAGAAGGGAGAAATTCCAGATGACTATTGCAATAACATAATTGTGACTATCCAAAAAAAAAAAAAAAAAAAATAAATATATATAACCAATTCAGAACACTGAGCTTACTCACGCATGCATCAAAATTCTTACAAAAATTATTAATAGCCATATAGAGAAGAAAATAAAATTCTTTTTAAAAAAAGATCAATATGGGTTCAGGAACAAAGAGTCACAAGAGAAGCAATTTTCGGACTTCGAGTGCTCATAGAAAACAGATTGAAAGGAACAAAGTTTGATAATGTAAACTGGAATATATTGTTTTATACAATGCAAGAAGTAGGAGTGGAACAACAAGACCTTAAAATAATGCACTCCTTTACAATTAATTAATTAATTTATTTATTTATTTTATTTTCTAACGCCTAAACAGGCAATTTTACAAAAGGAAGCAAACATTAAATGTAAGGTTAATTATTTTGATACAGCAACAAAGTACTACAAACTAAAAACGTTAAAAGCTAAATTTGAATATATACAACAAGACATTAATACTATGTACAATATAAATTATTTTAATTAGCAGCGTAGAATTATAACTAAACACAAAATGGGTCTAGACTAAACTCATCAAGTCGTCTAAGTATTCTGTGTAGTGGGTGGTTTTGGCCATATGAGGTGGAATGAAAGGGAAGTTTGAAAAGGGAGTGGTTTCTTGTGTTAAAGGAAGGGACACGAAAGTATATTTTGGATAGAAGTTCAGGAGAATCAATGGAACCATTGAGAAGGGATTTTATGAATGAGATGTCAGCATCTTCTCTGCGGGAGGCTAAGGAAGGAAGTCGGATAGCGGTGCGAATAGTGGAGTAGTCATGAGGAGGATGATTTATTTTCAAAAGGAAGGCAGCGTAAGAAAGGAATTTATTTTGCACTCTTTCCATTCTTATAATGTCTTTAGTAAGGTAAGGGTGCCATACCACAACACCATACTCTAGTATAGATCGGACCAAGGAAAGATAGAGGACACGGAGACAGGAAGGAGAGGAGAAGTTAGAAGTGTTTCTTTTAATAAAGCCTAATACTTTTAGGGCTCTACCAATAATATTATTCATATGGAATTCAAAGGAAAGAGTAGGAGTGTAATAAATACCGAGGTCTTTGATAACGGAAACACGGTTGAGAAGTGAGCCTTGGAGGAAGTAGGAGTGGTGTAAGGGGGAGAATTTGCGGGAGAACGACATTATGTGGCATTTGCTGGTATTAAGAGATAGGTTGAGCTCCATGGCCCAATTGGAGAAAGTGTCGAGGTCGGATTGAAGGAGTAAACAGTCAGATGGTGAATTTATGTTAAGAAAAAGTTTAATGTCATCGGCAAAAAGAAGTACTTTAGAGTTAAGTAGTAAATCGGAAAGGGAGTTGACATAGAGGGTGAACAAGAGTGGGCTGAGATGACCACCTTGAGGAACACCAGAAGGAATGATGCAAAGATCAGAAATCATACCATTGATCGAGACAAATTGCCTTCTGGAGTCTATATAAGATGACAACCATGCGAGTAGTGGATTGCCAAAACCAAGGTTATGTAATATTTTAATTAGAGTGCCGTGATCAACGGTATCAAAGGCTTTTTTGAAATCAGTAAATATCACGTCAACTTGTGAGCCGGATTCAATATTATCTAGGATATAGGTAGAAAAGACGAGACTGCTAGTTACTGATGATTTCCTAGGACGAAAGCCATGTTGGTTGTCACTGAGGAGATGATTAACATTTCTTTTGATGGAGGTAAAAACCAGGGACTCAAAAATTTTAGCTATATGAGGGAGAATGGATATAGGCCTGTAGTTAGTAATGTCGGATGGATCACCGGATTTAAGGATTGGTGTAATAGAGCAAGTTTTCCAGACAGTAGGAAAAACTCCCTCATTTAGGGAACGTTGAAAGAGGAAAAAAAGTGGTTGTGCTAGGGAGTCACGACATCTATAAAGTAACTGGGCCGAAATATTATCAGGACCATTGGAGTGGTTGTTTTTTAAGGATTCAAGAGCATAATGTACATCAAATATTGAAAAAGAACAGTTTGATGGAAGATTAAATTGGTAATTTTTGGTAACTTGAGGAGTAGAAATGGAAGTGGAGAAAGTATTTGGAGGTTTAAAAACCGAGGAGAAGAATTTAGAAAAGAGATTGGCATTTTTCAAGGGTGAATTTGATACTTCATCAAAAAGATGGACGGTGGAAGGGATTTGTGAATGTTGTTTGAGGTCTCTGGTATATTTCCAGAATAAGGAGGGGTTAGTTGAGAGAGAGCGCTCAGTGTTACTGATGTAAGAACGGTAATTACTAAGGGATAGTTGTTTACATTTGGCTCGTAGATGAGAGAAAACAGAATAGTCAGAAGGAAGATTTGTTTTTTTAAACTGTTTATGAGCATATTTTTTTTTGATTATTAAGGACTTTAGAGTAGGTGATACCCAACGGGGAAATTTCGGGTTTCTGAAGGTTTTTTTTGGAATGAAATTCTGAATAGCGTTAAGTAGAGCATCGTTGAAAACAGTGGCGGCATCGTTAATAGAGTAGAGCGAAAAAGTGGTCTCCCAATTAAATGAGTCAATGAATTTAGAAATAGAGGAATAGTCACCGATTTTAAAGTCAAAATAAGAATGTGTAGTATTTAGTTTAGGTGGTTTGGGATAATGGTACAGGATACATAAAGGAGGATGGTAAAGATCGGGTTTGATGAGAGGCGAAGTGGCTTTGTCGACTGACAAGTTCTTAGAAGTGGATAGGACTAAATCGAGGATGTTGCCTGTACAATTAGTAGTATGGTTGAATTGATAAAAGTTTAAGAAGGAGAAAGAATCAATAATTAGAGTGGAGGTTGGGGTAAAATTGCCACTTGCTGAAAGGCCAAACTCATCAGATGCCCATGAAATACCTGGCATGTTATAATCACCGCAGATAATAATTTCATCTGGCTGGTGATTAGATAGCAGTTGTTCGATTGATGCAAGATGGGATTCAATAATTGGTAACGGACTAGATGGAGGTAAGTATGTGCATCCAATTAGGAGAGTAGAGTGGTTAATTGTGAGAAGGACAAAAATATGTTCTACGCTTGAATTAAT